TGTATACCATTTTTCTGTTGAGCAAAATAATTCAATCCCCTCTGATGTAGCTCCAATTTCAGGTTACAAACTGAAATGTACAAAAATATTTATAAATATTCGTCTCGAACAATTACTTATATCGAATCTGTTGTAATAAATAGGAGAGTTTAGTAATAAAAATAATCATAACGAAAGAAATGTGAAATTTCTAAAATAATCTTTTGCACATAAATCATTTTTCTTTCCTTACTAAGGCATAATAAATCTTATTCCACTATGCTTAAATTAAACTTTTTTTTTAGTTATTGCCATTACAAGTTGGTTCGATTCAAGAAATAAACTTTTATAGCAGACTCAGAGATGTATTTGCTACAAATTTACATACGGATTTAGCTACAAATTTTCAACAACCATTATTTTTCTAATAGATTTGAAAGCACAAGAATCTCGATTTTCATCCTACAATTAATCTAACATCACTACCATCAAACACCTTTAGCGACATAAATTATCTACAAGCTTAGCAATGATTTTCCAATGGCTATTGTAATTTTTAAAGCCACAAAAAGTCACCCGCATATTTAGTGACGACACGAAATAGTTTGCTAAAATTGTCACTAATCCGTCAAAAATATAAAAAATTATAAATTGTATGGATGACCTTTAACGACGATAGACTTTTGGCAAATGTTAATGAATTTTTTTTTTTTTTAAAGGATAAAGATAAAGAAAATTATCAAGAGGCACACAGCCAAAATATATTTGTTAAAATAAATAAACTGTATAAATATTTTTGAAGAAAAGATTGATATACTTTACACCTGAGATATAAATATTTTTAGCGACATCACTACCATCAAACACATTTAGCGACATAAATCATCTACAAGCTTATCAATGATTTTCCAATGGCTATTATATTTTTTAAACCACAAATAGTTACCCGCATATTTAGTGACGACTAGAAATAGTTTGCTAAAATTGTCGCTAATCCGTCGAAAATATAAAAAATTATAAATTGCATGGATTATTAAGAATTGGGGTTCTATCTTAAAATATCAACATTATTCAGAGGAGTAATTTAATCCTTTATAAGTTGGTTTATGTTTACATCTTTATTCGATGTGGGATTCTATCCCTTAACTTGCCCCCACAAGATGGTGGCTTATTTGAGCAAGCAAATCTTAAAATTTCGTATGCTCACTTTTGGAATCTTAATCGGATCGAATTGCTCGTTAAAGTTTAATGAGCTCTGATAGCATGTTAAGAATTGATGTTTCATTTTAAAATGTCAACATTATTATGAGGATCGAGTAATACAATTCTTTATAAGTTGGTTTATGTTTATATCTTTATTCGATGTGAGATTCTATCCCTTAACATGGATGACCTTTAGCGACGATAGACTTTTGGCAAATGTTAATGAATTTTTTTTTTTTTTTTTAAAAAGGATAAAGATAAAGAAAATTATC